TGTACTTTTTAATATAATTTTGTCACCACTGACATACGGTGAGGGAAAACATCGTAAGGAAACTCTGGACTCGCTCAAACCTTCTTCGTGTGAGAAGAGGCCTTTGCTCAGCAGTGGGCACGCTATGGATATATGTAGAATTCAACCGCTTGCAGGTCTCAAAACTTTTTACCATTCTATTCACAGAGTGCAAACATGGAACTCTAATACTTGGCCTCTCTTTTATAATTCTGTTTGTAAACAAACTTCATGTGAAATGCATTATACAATTACGGTTTACCACCAAAGGATTCAGTTGTCATGGTGGTGTAGAATTAATATGTCACGTTCTGGTACCCGGGTAATCCTGACCAATGAATCATGAATGTTACATGATTTCACACGACTATGTATGTTGTATACATTGTTCTACCAGTCTTATGTTTGCCTAGTAACGTCTTACTATTTACCGTGTCAAGATCAACTTTATTTGACTCCCTGGTAACTGTGTTATGTTTTAGATAATTAAGTAGCGATTTAAACTAAGTTTTTAGTTAAACTTTATTAAACGGTAAAACCTCTAGTCCATTTATTTTTGGTGTAGATAATATCTTCAAACTTCTGATCTAACTATAGGGTGTTATATTAATTATACCTTTTTTCTTGAAGTTCGTTTGTTATCCAGAAGTTTAACCTTTAGTAACATTATACTGGTTTTATTTTCTATCGTACTCACAATGTACTACAGTTAAAACTTAACTGTATTTAAGTATGTTAACAATCAGAGGGACAGTTAGAAACACGTAGAATTATACGTATCTAATTAGCACTGCCATAAAATACGTTTTCACTGCCCACAGTACTTTAATTATTTAAGACGTGGCAAAAGGAAAACTATATTTATTTTGGAGTCACACAAATATGTTAATTCGTGGAATTTTAATTAAAACTGTTAATGTGATGTTTTTAACAGATTATGGTCCTCCATTGTTGTTCACAACTTAAAACGTGATTACCTTAGTGAAAATTTGGCAAAATCGTTGTGACCTTGTTTAAGAGTAACTTAGCAAAAAATATGGTTGCGTGTGAGCCTAATTACCTATATTATGCGTACAGTTTGTATTCTCAATATTACTTTCCAAGTGTTGTCAGAAGTCCTCAATTTTGACACGCTACACCCTGCACGGGTCCTCATTAACATTGTAGTTTTAACAACTGTTATGAATAGGTATAATATATAATGAGGTAGGTGTAACTTCTGTTAGTAGAACGCAATCGATGTGTTATTTGACATTAAACGGCACCTTTCAGCGCGAAAATGCTTTTGCAAGTTCTTTGAAAATATAATTTTTATTTATATAACTTTTTATATAATAAGGCACTTACACGGCTTAACACGTGAACTAACTAAGAAAAGTTTAATTTCTAGTCAAAATGGGACTCATACCTATTCATGAGCCGCGTGTGCGTCGTGGTAACGTGGTGCAACCGACATGGACTGATATGAACTGCTGAACTTCTTGGTGCGGTGGCTGGGCAACTGGCTGCCGCGCAACGTGTCGCGGATTCGATTCCCGCGTAGAACAACTCTTTGTGTGATCCACAAATTGTATTGTAACGCACCCACGACACAGGAGAAAATCATAAAAAATTAAATAAGCACATTGAAGTACTTGGACCAACTTAACTATACCAGTTATTAATCCGTTCTCTGAAATAGTTGTGTATAGAGAGTCTACTGTCCAACTTGACATGTAATCACAAGTTAAAAAAACAAGGTTGTAAAACATTACCGTTGCTTTGAAACGTCTCTCAAGATAAGCTTCACAAGCTAATCCTAAATACTTAAAGTAAACATGGAGCTTTCTCTATGGATGTCGCGCGATGATTAGCATCGCTTTCTCTGATGGGTGAGCTGTGAGCCAGACACCATGCATTTACGGTATGCAATGTAAGAGGTGCGGGAATTGGACATGGCCTTTATGGTAGGTGCGAAGAAAAGGTACTACTTTCTTAACTAAGAAACAAGTAATGTGTATGAAATCTTGTTGATTTTATGTCTCTCTGGTACTTGGCTCAATAATGTTACTTTGAGAATGAGGAATTTCAAATGTGGTTGTAGTAGATGCACCTATCCGTACGTAATAATGTATCCCAATTGGTTATGCATCACCCTAGAACCACTGATTTCGATATTTTCTTTTGTTTGTTATTATCAGGAGAACGTTCAGAAAAGTAGAGGGGGAAATTGGAATTAGCAGCCCATTCGCTGTCGATATGGTTAGGCATCCCTGCGAAGCAAAGGCAGGCCGCTAGTCCAAAATATATAGGTACACAAACAACTAAACAACAAAAATTAAGTACTTAAAAACTCATCCTTAAGTAAAACTCCATCAAGAGTTTAGGAACCTATTTTTGGAAACCATAAACCTCTCCCACGCGTTATTTAAAACTTCCAAAGTAAGTATGTTTACCTTATACAAGAAGGTACTTACAGATTCCTACTTAATATGCTAGCCTGGTAGGTGAGTAATTGGAGCCTAGTTCGGCGTAACCCTGCCAGTAACGGATAGCTTGCCTTGACACCTTGCTCTGCTTACCGAGTTGGTTAGTCCCTTTACAAGGCTAGCAATCAAATTCTTCACGGTTCATAACAAAATGTCCTAAGCAGATTCGTTGGCATGGAGCTCACGTCGCTATTCTATTATGCAAGGCCACTCTTAGTCGGCCAAACAGAGCAGAAAGAAATAATTGTTATAAAGATGAATATCATAGGCATAAGTCATAAAAAAGCATCTTTAAATATGTAAGGTACGTATTTATATGAGTGCAATATATTATAAAGTTGTGAGTTGTAGAGAAATTAGAAATGCCCTAACAGTAAAATTATTTGGGACAAATTGATAGATTTGCAAAGGAGATGCAAGTGCGTTGCCAACCTTTTGGGATAGCAGGAATTCAGGGATTGGGGAGGAATTGTAGGAGGGGAAGGATTGAGCGTCCGATAAACCACCTCACATGATGAAACACAACACTGTGTTTTTTTTCACGCCGATTTTCTGTGATGCCATGGTGTCACTCCGGTCTTGCCGGCCTTTGCGTGCCGAAGCATGTCTCTCCCACACTTTAGATTTCAATAAGTGTCTTATGAAACAGAATATAATCATTTTGTTGTTAATACCTAGTAATTAGATATACCTACACTTGATTTTTTTAAATTTCGTCTATGCCTAAGTTTTCCATGATCGTACAAAACATTAATCGGTGTTACCTCCTTCTCAATAAATATGTAATTACACAATTACTAAAAGCCCAAAATTTCGGTAGACAGTAATTATTTTAAACACTGGTAACAATACCTACACAATGCTATGATTGCGTAGGTACTTATCAACTTGCACGTTGACTGCACTTGTCCTAAGCACTCGCCCGGTAACTCGCTTCCAGTCACAGTGCCAATGTCTCTGTCTATGTCGGTATGTCGCCAGATCCGTGCTGGCGTTCATTGTATTCTTCATTCATCATTGCTTTTTCGTGGTTATCTGTACTGAGGTAACAAAATTAAGGAATTTGTTAGTTTGGTAAGAAATTGATTGAAATAACGTTTTCTTACGCGCCGATTGCTTACCACTGGGTAATCAATCTGCTAGTGTCCCATACAAAAAAATCACTTAAAACGTACGTCTCGACTTCCAGGAAAACATATTGTGTTTATATAAGTGTACATGCAAATGTAAATATAGCTTTAGGCTAGTAAAAAAGATCGGACTGACAAAGATCATCTTAAAAATTACGAGGTGACTGCACAAATATAATTTTAACCCATCAACGTTGATGTTTTTTTTTTATGTAATTGATGGGCAAACGAACAGACGGATGAAATTACGTTTACTTACGCGCTGATTGCTTACCATCAGGTAGATGGTAAGCAATCAGCGCCGCCCACGGACACCCGTAACGGAGGAGTTACCGACCTTTTAGGGATTAGGGATTTGGAGATTTAGGGATTAGGAAGGGGAAGGATTGGGCCTCCGGTAACCTCACTCACACGGCGAAACACAACGCTGTGGTTGTTTCACGTCGGTTTTCTGTGAGGCCGTGGTATCACTCTGGTCGAGCGATTCGTGCTGAAGCATGGCTCTCCCAAACTTACGGCAAATGCCTAAATTTCGAATTGAAGATTATTTATCTACTTAACATTAGGTAATATATGATTATTAGAAAATCAACATTCACAATTTATTTCTTAAGAATAGAATAGAATTCGGTTGTAGTTGTGAACAAGAGAAACCAAATAAATTAAAACAATTTTATTCGATTGTGTAAATTCGATAGTATCTACGTATTTTTATGACAGCAGTGTAATTCACACCTTTTGTTCAAACTGTTTTTATTGCTACAATTCATTTATTTCACGACTCAATGTCACATAACTGTACCTACCAATCTAAAACTTTTTGATAGGTGATATGCGTCAGCGCAAAGCACGTATAGCCAATTAAAAAGTAGCTGTTTATTAAAAATCTAGATTAGTTTGTTGAAAATATAATACCAGTTTTATAATGCGCGAGATTAATGTTGACTGTATTCTTTGGTAGAATTTTTTACTAAATTTTATGAGATCTGTTTTTGGTGGCTAATCCGACAACACTTTATCATTTTTATTAGTTTTTTGAACTTGTTGTATGTCACATAGTCACTTTTTATCCAGTCAAAATGAAAATCAGCGCTGCGACACTGTCTCGCATAGTGTCGCTGCATATGCTGAGTGAGGGCCATTTCGCGTGCTTGTGACGCATATTTTTTCCTATATTACCTACTTACCCTTTTTTATATTGTATAACCATGATTTTTTTGTTTTATTTTGTGTCTTATGTGCGTCCTAGACGCGAATATATACTTTTTCTTTCTTTCGTTATTTAAATGATTTCTTCAAACTCGACCAGGAATGTATCTTTGAAAGAATGTTTCGTATTTTTTTTAAAATAAGATGATGCCGCCATGTTCCTTTTGTTTTCCAGACTGAAACAGAACTATGGACCTTTCAAGAGATAGCATTCAAGGCAGAGATGGATCGTCACGATGACCCAGAATCCGAGGAGGAAGCTTTCATACTGTGCGCCGAAGACCCAGCCACCAGGACCAGAAATATTGTGGAACTTAGAAATATGATATATGGTAAGCTAATCGACCGTATCTATATGTCAGTATATCGTACTTTCTATGATTATTTAGACACCACTGACATACTAACGTTCCGCGCGCGCCTCAAAGAGCCAATAGACCACCACAGACGGGGCCCATCAGGGCTGATGTTCAGCCTTGGTTGCGGGGTAAGCGCAATGAGGCACCGCGACCTCGGCCCAGAGCAGGAGAAGGAACAGGGGGGTTTTTAGTCGGTAAGAGTCTGACACTCCCTCTCGCCCGGCCCTGGGCGGGAGAAGTCATTTGATGATTTTCCCCTCACAAAAAAAAACCACTGACATACGGTGAAGGAAAACATCATGAGGAAACCTGAACTTATAATAAATTTCTAATTATAAGATTGAAATTGCCAATCCGCCTTGAGCAAGCGTGGTGATTAATGCTCAAACCTTCTCCGTGTGAGAGGCTGATGATGATGATGATGATTCGGACGTATCATCTTATCTGAGTCATCATCATCCATCGTGGTGTTTACAGTTACGAACTTGTGTATACACTGACAAAAGTGCTAGCAGTTCTAAATAAGATATCTCTCCAAATAAGAAAGACAATCGCTTCGAATCTAATGAAGTAGTGCCGACTACTACCTATTTAGGTAAAATGACAGAAGAAAATTGTCTTTTTATCATAAGAAGTACTTAAGGTACTTAATTACCGAGAACATAGTTTTTTTTTTATATATTTGTGAGCAGTTCCTTTCATACAAACATTTTAAAGCTACCTACCGTGCAAAGTGTGTATTGGAGATATATTATATCAACTGAAGAAAATTATGATCAAGATGACGAAATGATTAATGACTATTATCTTGTCAAACCGCGGAATGAATTTCCTAGTTACACGTAACGCAAAACAGTTAAGTCAGAGTTAGGTAAGCGATATCATAGGTTTACGGAAACTTGACGTAAAAGGCGACAAGTACTAGGAAAACATGAAATACTGAGGTTACAACCCAATTAATTTGTTTCTCGCTTATTCTAAAATATGTTAACAATCGTTTACGAGTAGTAGAATATGTAATTGTATTAACTTTTTAAGCATGCTTACAAACCCTTCCCTTTTTATGAAAGTTCAGGGTATTTAATACAGCTCAAATCACACAACTACAATAAACAAGCAACATTTTGTAATCAATTACTCAATTAGGTATAAATGCTTTATCAAAACAACATTTTTGCTATATGGAATATTTTGTTTGAGTATAAACAAAAGATTTCATGCTAGGTCAATAACCTTGTGAAGTGTGATATTCTACGTTTACTTGCGGGTTGCAACTTACAAGTGATTGTAAATAACCTTCATTATTTTCAATCGTAGTTAGATCTCTGTCCCTAGTACACAGAGGCCTATTCTTTCACATTAGTCTACTAAAAAAACATTTTTTGTGTAATCCAATTTTATAATATAATTCATTTACAAGACGTAATTGCATGCTTTGTATTGAGATTACGTTCAAGATAGTATAATTAACATTAATTATTTAAAAATTGCTGAAATGAATCAACTTTGTATACGGTATAATAATATCGTAGCAATCGCAGATTTGTCAGTATAACGCCATCTATCGAGTTACTACTACTAGGATACTTAAAGTAACAAAGGTATCCGTGTCAAGTGAAATTTTATAATTGAAATAGTTCATAAGTAGATATACTTATTGTTTTAGATATAAGAGTAAATGTAAAACTTTGATTAATCGATACAACAGATAGTATTTATCTTGCTGAGTTTCTATACAAGCAAAAATTTAAAAAGAATAAACGCCTAATCAAATCGTTATAGCAAAGTGACTTGATATGCACACCCGACACAATGCTTACTCCTTTTACTATATCGATTTATTAAAAATATAGAAAATACTGCAATACTCTTTTTAATATTCTCCCAAATATTTCACAGAAAGGGGCGAGTGTCACCCTCCCCGAATGGATGACGCATTCTTACTGCGATTCCTGAGGGCGCGGAGATCAGTGCCTGCTCGAGCGCATAGACTTGTGAGTTTAATCTATTTCAATATACATTTTTACTAAAGGGTTAACTAAAGATTAATAATAATTGACAACTCAGCTACATTGGCCTACTTTCCATATGTGGATAAAAAACATGAAGTAAAAATTACTGCATGATAAATCATTAATAAATGGACGGATGTGGAATTAGGTGAGCAAACTTTTTTTTTTATGTAATATGTCGGCAAACTAGCAGACGGATTACCTGATGGTTAGCAATCAGCGCCGCCCATGGACACTCGCAACGGAGGAGTTACGAGTGCGTTGCCGATCTTTTAGGGATTAGGGATTTGGAGATTTAGGGATTGAGGAGGGATTGGGGAAGGGGAAGGATTGGGCCTCCGGGAACCTTACTCACACGGCAAAACACAACGCAGTGGTTATTTCACGCCGGTTTTCTGTGAGGCCGTGGTATCACTCCGGTCGAGCCGACCCATTCGTGCCGAAGCATGACTCTCCCACAAATTGAGGTAAATAATCCTAACAATGGTTAAATATTTAAAACAAACATCTTATTTGTTTCCAGTTAGTTCGCTACAGCAACTTCCGTGACCAGAACCCGCACTTATGGCGTGACATCGACTGGTTCGGCCTCACAAAACTGGGACATGTGTTCGAAGGCGTACTGTTTGACAGGCCGGATGTCGGTAGGCTTATTATTTGTAGACTCGGTAAGTACTACTATTATCATAACTTTAAAGATTAAAAATGTAACTCCTACTTAACGTTGTACTCCTAGTTAAATTGTTTCTAATTACAAAGCCAAAAGTACAAAGGATACTTGTGTTGCCATTATTTCTTTTAAAATGTTACAACTAGGTACTTTAAAAAATTATGCCCTAAAAGTTTTTTAAACGTTTGATTAAAAATCGTTATATTATTTTTCCTAAATTAATAATATTGTTAATGGGAATTGGGTAGTTTCCTAGGTCAAAAATAAATTAATCCGATGTTTCAATACAATAAAATATTGAAAAAGTACTATACTTTTATTCATCGATCGATCGATACGACAAGTTTTAGATTTTTTTAGCTAATTATTGTGAAATAAGTACCTATGCCATTTGACGCATAGCTCAGACGACATGACGTCATGGCTCAGTTTTTCATACAAATTTCATAGAAAAGTATCGTTTTTGACGTTTGGATAAAAGTATTGAATTTGACTAGTTGAAAACTACCGTATTATGCAATTATAAATTAGTTCATCAAACAGCAAGCGAAGGCATTCGCACACCTGTTGTTCTTCTAATGTGTCTCGAATTACGACGATTAAAATATTAAATGATGTTCCCCAATCCAACCAAATTGGAGATTATGACGAATTATCATGCCAAGAGGAGATTCACAGGATTTGAGCGTTTTAATCAATCCAATTTATGCCTATAATTCCAGGTCAATGGGACCCAGATGATTATCCAGTAGATGACCTAATCCGAGGCTGTCTACTCCTACTGGAAATTGGCATCATGCAGCCGAAGCTCCAGGTGCTAGGAGGAACTGCTTTACTAGACTGTGAAGGGCTTACGATGAAGCATATGAGACAGTTCTCACCAGCGATAGCATTACAAGCGATGAATGTTATGGGGGTGAGAAAATAAAATTTAGTTTTATTAGAAGTTTTTTATAGAACCTCAGAATGCAGTTTTATAGTATCTTCTATTCTGCCATCGCAATCATCGTCATCATCTGCCATCTAGTGATCAAAGTTGAAAACAATATTTCAAATAATTAGTACAGCAATAGTTTTTTTACTATTCTGTTTCTTTTTTATGTTCCAGTTTGCATTCCCACTCCACCAGCGTGGTGTCCATGTGGTCAACTGCTCCAGAGTCTTCGAGACATTATTCCACTTCTTCAAACGTCTGGCGCCCGTTGACGATCTCTGGAAAAGGGTTCGATTCCACGGAAATGATCTTAGCTCTCTACATAAGTGAGTATTCTATTAATGGTAGTCATCGATCACTAATAAAGAACTTATTAGTGATCGATGATGGTAGTATAATACATAGACTACGTATTTGCCTATAAGACAATGTTGGGAAAACTAGTCATTGACCAGGTATCAGATTTTTAAACTCTTCTTCAGAAATATGAGAACCTAGTATTTTGACTGAGGTATCTAGCCAAATAAAGATTTTATATATAAGATTTAATGAAACCTGTCAGACCTAGGTAAATATAGGTGGGAGATAAGGAATGTTACCTATATTTATTACGATTATAAAGTTCAAGAAAATATTGTATTTTGTATTATTATATGAATCAGTATTTAACTAGGATCGAAGTCGCCTAGATAGCACCTTCCCATTCATTATAAATATTCTTATTGTTTGTATAATGTTACAGATACATATCTCCCGATTGTCTTCCAAAAAGGTATGGCGGGCATAGACAAGAAGTATCTCTAGAAAAATGGCTGACGAAAATCAAGCAGTACAAGAACAAAGACTTTGATAATGATATGAGAACACTAGGATATGCTGTAGATTAAGTAACTAAAGTAATAAAAGTCTGTTTAAACCATCGATCACTAATGGTTTAAACATATTATATAGGTACTTGGCAAACAAATTTAATATTATTTTCGAAAGGTGGATGTCGATTTTTGTATAAGTTCGTGATGTGACATGCTTATTTATTTGCTTTAAATAGCATACTTGTTTGTTCCTTTAATATTAGCTATAAATTTGCATACATATGTATATTTATATTGTAAATCTTATTATTAATAAACCAAATTGTGATTTGTTTTTAATATTTTATTGTGTTATAACAATTTATTTTTGACCAAGCATTGAATTAGAATCGATGTTACATTGTAAAAACTGTATTTGGAATAAAGAACTTGCAACTCAATGATTATGGAAAGTACTGAATGATTATAATTGATATATGATTGATTTTAATAAAACTTAATAATAATAAAGATGGTCGAAAAACTTAAGTAAATAAAATACATTTTCGAAACATTATTTAACCGAGCAGTTAATTGCAGTTGGCTATTATTCATTTGTTTCATTACTTGATGGTAAGCAATCCGTGCCGCCCATGGTCACTGGTAGTACCAAAGGAGTTATACAATACGTTGCGGGCCTCTTGTGGGTTATTAGGGATTTAAGTATATGGGATTTCAGGATTGGGGAAGATAATTTTTTTTTTTTTATCGAGATTAAAAAGATGTAACGTCATCGTCATCACGTGGCATTCATATTGGTCCGTATCAAGCTCGTTCGTAGTTGCGCCTTTGTTCGTCGGAAAATACCACGCGACAGTCTCTTTGTACTAGGGCATCAGAAATGAAATAGTGATTAGCCACTGTGTTTTCTATCGGGATTGGTTATGGAGGGATAAAGTTGTTCTTTCTTACTAAGTCTTTTTCTTTAGAAACATTGACTACCTTCACCTGAGCGTTTACCAAGACAACATACATTGAAGAAGTGTAAACATGTTATGATTTCAATAGACGATTAATTTCTCAGTCAGTCAAGCCCACTATGTAATTCGGCACATTATATGTATAATCCTATAGATATCAGAGACACATCAACATGTGGCTTAAATACACTATAGACTATAGTGTCGATATTGGTCACGCCTGAGACAAGGTAATAATGATATTTTTACTGTGCCTGAGAACTATGATAAGTTATACATATTTTTCAATTTTGGAGCACTATTGTTTCCCTCTTCCCCCACCGGAGGAAGGCTTTAGGGTCAAAATATGACGCTACAATTTGTAGAAGCCGAACAGTGAATGAAGCTGAACAGGGCGACAGAAGTTTGTCGTTCATATAAGAATTAATCAAACTGGGAAATACAAAGTGCATAAACAAAATCCTCACTGAAATATAGCTCGGTGTGATCAGGTAAAATCTGTTTTTTATGTAGGTAATGCATACCTTTATAAAATAAACTGTATTTGGAATAAAGACCGTTTCCTCCGCATTGCATGTTATACAAACTTGTAACTCAATCATTATGGAAACTACTGAATGATTATAATTGATATATGATTGATTATAATACAACTTAATAATAATAAAGATGGTCGAAAAATTTAAGTAAATAAAATACATTTTCAAAACATTGTTTAACCGAGCAGTTAATTGCAGTTGGCTATTATTCATTTGTTTCATTACTTGATGGTAAGCAATCCGTGCCGCCCATGGTCACTCGTAGTACCAAAGGAGTTATACAATACGTTGCGGGCCTCTTGTGGGTTTTGCCAGACTTCGTGGCAAGGTAAATAATGAGACTGTAGATGGTTAAGGTCTGTTTATTACTTTAATTGCTGGTGCTTATATACTAAGGAGATGCGTGAGATTTTCAGATTTAGCTATCCTAACAAACGTGCAACAATTAACATGTGTGTCTTATCTCTATCGTATCTAAGTAATGTAGCGACGTGATCGTGCCGCTACATATACTCCCCCCTTTTAAAAATAATTAACATATAAATTGAAAAAAATTAGTATGTACCTAATTATATAATAACTTAACCTTGCTGATAAATTACATCCTATGCGTAATGTAATGTCATTGTAGCTAATTCGAAGGAAATAAAAACTGCTGCCTTTGTTGTGACGGCGGCGGCAGTCGATGAACTATCCACTGCATTTGTGCTGATTGTTTCTGCTGATTGAAAATTTTAAATTCTTGTTATTACGAAGTCGTAATAATTCTTGGTCATCATGCTGACATCTTGCTAAATCAGCATAATTAATCGGTGATGGCACATCAATTTGTTCTATCCGTGACAATGCGTCTGCTACAATATTGTCACGTCCTTCTATATGTTGAATGTTGGTACAATATTGTGAAATAAAATCCAGTTGTCGTATTCGCCGTGGCGTATCATTAGATGACGGTTTTTGGGAAAATGCGTAAGTCAAAGGTCGATGATCTGTAAAGATAGTAAATTCTCTTCCTTCGACTAACCTTTGAAAATGTTTGACTGCCATATATATTCCGAGCAACTCTCTGTCGAATGTCGAGTGTTTTTGTTGAGTATCACTTAATTTCTTTGAAAAGAATCCTAATGGTTCCCAATTACGTCCTGACTTCTGCTACAGAACTGCGCCAACACAGGTCGAACTGGCGTCCGTCATAAGTGCCAAAGGGGCGGTGCGAGAGGGGTGAACTGTTAATACTGCGTTCCTTATATTTTCCTTGGTCCTTTAGTGATAATATGATGCTTAATCTTGTGTTTTGGAGTAGTGTGGAGGGAGGCTGGTTTCGTAATATCCTCGTATTCATTTAATAGTTGAGTAATGCGTGGATTCGTCTCAATGTTAATAGTGCGGATTGTTTGCTGCGTCGATTTGATCAGGGTTGCGGGCGTTGTCAGCTCAGTTACCCTATCTATGAGTTTTCGACCAGCTATATCGACTAATAGCTTATAATGCTCTAAAAAAAATCTGCTCCAATAATCGGTTGTGTTACATCGGCGATGACAAAGTTCCATACAAAGTTTCTTCGTAGCCCGAAGTTTAAAGAGAGTGTTTTTTCACCATATGTCTTAATTTTTGTACCATTGGCGGCATAAAGTATACATTGTTCATCTTGTATTAGTGACTGTCTCTGTGGCTTGCTATTTTTATTAGGGATTTAAGTATATGGGATTTCAGGATTGGGGATGGGGGAAGGAATTGGGCCTCTGGTTACCTCGCATACACGGCGAAACACAACGTAAGTGTTGTTTCACGCCAGTTTCCTGTGAGGCCGTGGTATCACTCCGGTCGAGAGAGTCGCGAGTACACTTTTGTTTTTTGGAAACTTAAGAGTTCCCTCTTCCAGTCCCTCCTTACACTCCTGCGAAAATGTATTTTATGCAGTTTTCATGAATTTTAACTTTAAATTTTATATAAAAAGTACCTACTCTTACTCGAATGAACTACGAGATATCAACCAACTGCAGTGGAATAAATAAAATCAGTTTTTTTATAAAGGTATGCATTACCTACATAAAAAACGGATTTTACCTGATCACACCGATCTATATTTCAGTTAAGATTTTGTTTATACACTATTTATTTCCCAGTTTCATTAATTCTTATATGAACGACAAGCTTCTGTCGCCCTGTTGCTCTCGCTGTTCGGCTTCTACAAATTTAGCTTTAGGGACAAAACATGACGCTACGTCTAGAGCCCTAAAGCCTTCCTCGTTAAATACTCACAAACACAAAAAGAATTATTCAATTTGAACCAGTACTTAGTTCTGGAATTTAGCGCGTTCAAATAAAAAAACAAAGTTCAGCTTTACAATATAAAAAAAATATTGTTATTATAGATATAACTGTATGTCGGGTTTTTTTTTTTTTTTTTTGTGAGGGGAAAATCATCAAATGACTTCTCCCGCCCAGGGCCGGGCAGGAGGGAGTGTCAGACTCTTACTGACTAAAAACCCCCCTGTTCCTTCTCCTGCTCTGTGCCGAGGTCGCGGTACCTTATTGCGCTTACCCCGCAACCCCGGCTGAACATCAGCCCTTTAGGGCCCCGTCTGTGGTGGTCTATTGGCTCTTTGAGGCGCGCGCGGAACGCTACGCGCCGTACGCTCGGGCCTGGTTCTGGTCGGGCGGCGAGCTGCCCTTACTCGCCGACCGCAGGCCCGTACTTACGGTGGCCGGAGATCGTCCCTCGATCCCCGACGCCCGTAGTGTCGCCAGTTGCGGCTGCTGGGGCGTGAGGAGGAGGATTGCTCCCTCACGCGGGCCGCCTCTCTCTTTGCGAGCATGACTGCTTCACAAAAGGAGGAGACGGCGTCCCAGTTCCTCTCACTCCGCACCATGGCCTCGACTAAGGCCGGGCGCGAGAGGTCGCCGCCGCCGATCACTTCCCTGAGGATACGGCGGTGCTCAGCCCAGGCAGGGCATACCGCTACCGTATGCTCCACCGTATCCTCTAGGTGGTCCTCACAATGACGACACTCGGGCGTTTCCTCCCGCTGAATCCGAAACAGGAACCTACCGAAGCTGCCGTGCCCGGTAAGCACCTGCGTCAGACGGAAGGTGAGGACGCCGTGGCGTCTCTCAAGCCACTCTTCAAAGAGGGGTCTTACCGCTGCTATGGTAAACTGTATGTCGGGTGCTGAACGATTTTCATAGCAATATGTTGTAGATGAGGGTATTTAATATTTACTAGCAAAACAGTATCTTGTCATTGTAACAAAATATATTTTAGGTACATAATACTGATTAAAAATTATTATTTGTTCTTGTACCTATATGTTATTAACTTACAGTTTTAGTAGTAGTATACATACTGATTTTGCCAATTGCTAATGATTCCTAAAAATATAACAAAGTAAAACACCTACCTCATATTGTTTGTTACCTTCATAAAGAATAAACTGAACACTTAATACTTACATAAATTGTATGTGTTAATTAAGTAACGTATATTTAGTTGTTGGGAGATGTATAAACTTACAAATAGAATCAAACCTCTATTGTTAATGAGACTACAGAATATAAAAAGGAGGAAAATTTTTATATTAA